ATTTAATGCAATAATTGTTCCACATTTGATTCATTGTATAGAAGTCTGGGGAAATGCATGTAAAACAATTACTAATCCTATTTTTATTTTACAAAAAAGAGCCAAAAGGAATTAGGAATTAAAATTATTAAAATTTTATGAGTTGGTTGAACATCATATTATTTTATCTCCTGGATGCCTCCCTGTAGAGGTGTTTTGGGCACACCCCACTAGTTGGAGGCCCAGGGGAAAATCCAAGACTCGCTGGAGGGATTATGTATCCTCTCTGACCTGGGAACAGTTCGGGCTTCTGCCAAACGAGCCAGAAAGTGTTGCTGAGGGATGTCTGGGTTTCTCTCTTAGACCTGTTCCCTCCGCGATCTGCTCACAGATAAGCAGCAGAAGCTGGAGATGGAGAAATTCTGTAATGTTGAGCACAAAGCCTAAATAAAATACAAAAAAATACTGGATTATAGTCTGAATCTTCACAAATTAAGWGAAATAATCTGCCAATGCATTAAGACAATTTCACATGGGAAATCCCAGGCTAACAAGATTAATTACACGTTCTGCCTTTCCTCAGTGAATCAGTCTCAAAACAGGATAAAAAATACTCATAAGATTATAATATTTAGTTAGATGGATGGGTTTAGCTGTACAGTTCAGTGTGCTTGAACTGCATATAAACAGTATATGTAATGCAGTAATGAATGCACAGTGATAGCATTTACCTCTGAACTTGTGTAATATTGTGATTAAAAACAGGACAATAAAACAGTAATTCAAAATAAAATGTGTAGAAATCCAGTAAATTGTCATTACTCTTTCAAAATGCAGCTAAATTCTTTGCATAATTTAAAGATTTAGCAGGTTTTTAATGTGCAACGATGTCATTGTGTTATTTGTAAAAGACTGCTGAAGCTCTGATTGCTCGACAAAGACTTGACAGTGACAGCACTGATAATGTCATTAACGTTACTTCATCTCTGTATAGCCAATCAGAGAGCATTGCTGATTCCTTCTCTTAATTTTAGCATGATTGTGTAATTCTGTTTTCCCATTCAGGGTGGATACAGACACCTGAAAGGCTTTATGTAACAGCTTTACAGAAATCAATACGTGAATGACTCAGTAGGAAAAAAAATTAACAMCACCTTTGTTGCCTTCCCTTCCAGGATGAATACATTGAAATGCAACAGTTACATAAAAAGAAGCTGAAGCGTTGACAGGTACGAATAAGAAGAAAAATGGACTTGTCCGCTGCACGCCATGATTCATTTTTCACATTCACTTGTTTCAGATCAGCATCACAGAAGGCTGCCTGTGTGAATAAAAGCTGGTCCTGCTCAGAGACGAGTCACTAATAAAATACATTTTGAGCATGCAAAGCACATGTATCAATGTGGAGGAGGTTTATATCATGCTGGTGTCAGTGTGGCAGGGTCCTGGGTGGAGCCATGTGTATTGGGGCGGGACTAACCACGATGACTTCATGACCGTGATCAGGACACGGTCAAGGGTTCACAATGAATGAGGTTTTA